CTTTGCCAAGAATTTTAACAATTTTTTTTACCACAGCTGCTTCTTCATCCAGCACGCGGCTGATGCCTTCTGATTATGAACTCCTTAACATGGTTTCGAGAAAGAAAAAAGTTTCTTCCAAGCTGGCCTCTGGTTCTCCCAAAACTCCGCATTGCCCGACTATTGAAATGAAAGTTGTTCCTTCTCTTCCGGTGAACGTTGCTGCTAATTCTGACTCTGGTGTGAAGATGAATGCCTCCTTTTCTCGTGACTTCTGCTGTTTGAAGGACACTTTTATGATGAAAAGTGAAATGCCTCAGATTCTGCTTCCCTCCTCGTCTGCTGCGTTTGCCGATATTTCTTCGACTAGTCTAGCGTTGGCTTCGTCAGCCTATGCTTTCCAGGTATCTTATCACTATGTAAATATTCAGTATCTGTCTAAAATTTTAAATTTCCTTCTAACGAGAATTTTTCCATATTGGCAGAGTGTTCAAGCTAGTCTTGTTGCTGCAGGAAGGTTGGTTTTACTGGAAAAAGCTGTGGACGAATTAAAAGGGAAAGAGAAAGGTTCTCAAGTTCGCGCTGATGCTGATGCTCGAACGATTCAAAATCTTCGTGGTGACAACTCGACCTTGGTGAATCAAATTTCGACCCTGAAAGCCCGCATCAAGCTATTGGAGGCATATGGGAGGAAAAAGAAACAAGAAGTTACCGACGCAGCTTGTTTTTACGCTTGGAAGACTAGGGGCGAACTGATGGCTTCATTCCTCGCAGGTGAGATGTCAAACTGGACAGCGGAACAAGATGTTGCTACCTGGCTGAAGCTTCAGGAAGAAATGGATCCCCCGATTGGTGAGGATGGTTTTGACGTGGGCCAATATAATGACGAAGCTGAATCCAAGCGTTCCCATGACAATTAAACATGTTTTTCCTTCTTTATTTGCTTGGCTCCAAACACTTTCTGCTTTTTGAAACTTACTTTAACATTACTCTCCGTGCGTTATGGTTTCCTGGTGGTTTATCAGGGACTTTAACGCTTCGTTGTGCAATCATGGATCTTGTGCTTGGTGGTTATCCAAGCCATGTCCATGTCGTTTTGTGACTCTGTCGCTATTTTTTGCTATTGCTTGAATCCTGTTTTCGCTAATGCGTGTTCTGTCGTGTATGTGTGTTTGTCGCTTATATGTGCAACATGCCATGTGTATGTTGAATCATATATATGTTTGTGTTTTGGCCAAAACGTATTTGGTTTTATGGACCTTCATTCATGGTTTTTTCATGATGAGCTCCATGTCCCCTAAACACTGACGTTTCGTCATGAGCAAGTTCAGACGTTTTACCTGTTGTTCTGGCGTTTGCGTCGTCTTGTGTTTAGACCTTAACCCGTCATAGTCCTGGGATAATACTGCACCGTTGAGGTCGGCCGTTGGCTTGAGGCCAATGGCCCTCCGACGGTCAAGTTAGTAAACAATGAATTGTATTTGCTATATAAAAAATGACATGAAACGTAACTAATTACCTGTGAATTTGCCAATTTCGTGTGCCTTCCTGTATCAAAGTCATTATTAGGGTTGGTCGTTGGCCTTAAGACAATGGCTCTCCGACGGTCAAGTTAGTAACTTCGTTTTACGATGAGAACAGATGTGCGAAAAATGAATTAAAAATGGAAAAGTTTTAAGTGTACCGCATTCCAACTTCGGGGGATTCGTTTACCATCGACTGATTCCAAGCGGTATGCCCCCTGACCAACGACGTCAATGATTTTGTAGGGCCCTTCCCAATTAGGACTAAACTTACTAGACGCTTCGTTGCCAAATGCTCTCCTTAAGACCCAGTCTCCCTTCTTGAACACCTTCGCTCGGACATTTTTGTTATAACTTTTTGCAACCATCTGTTGATACGTCTGCAAGCGAATCTTGGCTCGTTCACAGATCTCGTCAATGGTATCCAAGTCATGCGTCAACTCCACATTGTTCAATTCTTCAGTCATGAGTCCATATCTTGAAGAAGGTACTTCAATTTCAGCAGGAATTACCGCTTCGCAGCCATACACCAGGGAGAATGGGGTCTGTCCGGTTGCATTTTTTGGAGTTGTCCTGTCTGCCCATAGTATCAAGGGCATTTCATCAGCCCATTTGCCTTGTGCCTTCTCGAGTCTTTTCTTTAAGTTGGCAATGATGATCTTGTTGCTGGATTCAGCCTGTCCATTGGATTGCGGGTACCTGAGTGTCGACGTTTCCAACTTGATATTGTACCTCTCACAGAACCGTCTGGTCTTAGCGCTTATGAACTGAGATCTGTTGTCACAGACAATTTCTGATGGAACGCCGAACCTGCAAAGTATGTTTCTTTTGATAAACGAAATTACCTGGTCATCTCGTATCTGACGGAATGGCTCAGCCTCCACCCATTTTGAAAAATAATCCGTCATTGCCAGCATGTATACTTTTTGCCTCGGTGCTTCTGGCAATTTTCCTACGATGTCCATACCCCATTTCATAAAGGGCCATGACGATAGGACTGGATGAAGCGACTCAGAGGGTTGATGATGAATTGGTCCGTGCATCTGACAAGGCTTGCATCTTTGAGTGAAGGTGGCTGCATCTTCTCTCATGGTTGGCCAGTAGTATCCGAATCTAAGAGCTTTGTTAGACAGACTTCGCCCAGCCGCGTGGTTGCCACATTCCCCTTCATGAAGGTTTTTCAGCACTTTGATGGCTTCTTGAGATGTCAGACATCTTTGATACGGACCTGCGACAGATCTTTTAAATAAAACGCCATCAATTAGTAGAAATTTACTTACCTTAGATAGGAAAGCCTTGACCTCTTTTTTGTCTTCCGGGAGAGTATTGTGCTTTAAATATGCTATGTACGGTTGCGTCCAATCTTCTTGTGTTGGGGTTTCAACGGTAGAGACAACCTCTGATCTGTAAATTGCTGGACTCGCCAAGTGCACATAAGGGATGTTGCTGCTAATTTCTGCCCACAGACATGATCCGATCGCGGCTAGAGCGTCAGCTTGTGTATTTTCTTCACGTGGGACTTGCTCGAAGGTTATCTCATCAAATGACGTTATCAACTCCAGGACAATTTGCAAGTAGGATGTTATCTTTGGGTCCTTTGCTGCATAAACACCATTAGTTTGATTAATTATCAATAGAGAGTCGCATTTTACCTCCAGGACTTTGATGCCCAAATCCCTTGCCAATGTGAGTCCGACAATTGGAAGTTTTGGAACTCAAAAACCCCCAATCATCTCTATCTTCTTTGTATAAAATCCAATCTGTTTTTACAGATCCAATGCGTTTGCCGAAGGAGCCAACTCAATCTCGATGCCAATCCATTACTGCTTTACCACAAACTATACTAGTTAGTTTTTTTGCGTTTAAAACGCGTTTTAAATACGTATCATTTTTTGAACAAAAAAACACGTTTAAAATGAAAAATAATGTCGGCCCGTTTAAAAAGGGAAAAAACTTCCATTTCCCGTATAAAACGTATATTTCCCGTATTTTATAAAAAATAAAAACATCATCTGATCACTTGAATGAATACATCAAATGAATAGGAGATCAACAGTAGTTTAAAAACAAAAAAGAAAACCTCATCCCCGTGACCCCGTGTTTTTGTATTGTTACAATACAAAATATACAATTGTTAAATACTAAAATTAATTGCATGATGACTAAAGCTAGCATCCTAAAAGACTAAAATCTAAAATACTACTACATATTAGATTTGTGATGTTCTTTTCCAAACAAGCATATCAAAATTAAGGTTTTTTTAAACTTGACATTTTTTATTACTGTATAAATTTTACACAAACAATAATAAGTGTTGCAGTCGTACAACTTTCTCTCATGTCATCTGTCATCTAGATGAAAATGATGAGTTTAACTTGAGTGTTATTTGATGATCATGTAAAGATGGCGATGATGATGTTTACTTGGCCTCATTCTATCGTTATTATGCCTTATTTTCTGACATTCCTTTGCAAAATTATGTCTTGGACTTTATTACTCCGTACTATTTTTACTTTTGGCATCGACTTATGCAACTATGAATTATTCTTTTATTTAGTAATGTGATTTGCATCTTCAATATGTGTACACTCTTATTTCTTTTCATTATATGTTATTTTGGACTTAATCATTATTCTTTTTTGTCATGAACTTATGCTATTATTATGAATGCATTTTTTGATGGAGTAATGAGATATTATATTTGAATTTGTGTGTATGTTGATTATCTTTTATGTACCATAGGTGTTTTACGCTCTAAAAACAAGTACAATAATTTTATCATTCAGAATAAGGCCCGTATTTTTAATCCGATTTTTTCTAAGAGATGCCGTATTATACACGTATACGTATTTACACGTTTTATAAAAGCCAACGTATTTTTTGTCGAATTTTTGACCGTATATTTTGTTCAAGTTACCGAATAAAATACGTACGTATTAAACCACGTTTAATTTCCGTATCGTATTTAACTAACGAGTATTGACTTTTTATATTTTGATTGTTTTTTGGGAGAACTATCAAATAAGCCCTCGAACATTCATAAAAAGTGAAAATAAGTCCTTTTAACGGAGGCTTGTTCGGCTGTCGCCATTTGGGGCGGTTTATGGTGGCATTTTTTGATGAATTTTTTTTTGAGCATGTTCTTCATTAACTTTAGTTTACCCATACAAAATTTCAGCTAAAAATTCAACCGAGAAGGCAGTCAAATGATTTTCTGAAATATACTGCGCTGCATAAGTGCGAAGTTATCTTAAAAAATTCATTTGACTGCCTTACTAATTGAATTTTTAGCTGAAATTTGGTATGTGTAAACTAGACTTAATGAAGAAGATTCTACAAAAATTTCATCAAAAAATTCCACCGGAAACCTCTCTAAATGGCGACGGCCGGACAGAACCTCCTATAAAAAGGTTTATTTACACTTTTTATGAAAGTTTGAGAGGTTATTTGGTAGTTCTGCTTTGTTTTTTCTATATTTAATCTTTACTCAATCAAATTTTTTCTATATTTAATCTTTACTCAATGAAAACCTTAAAAAACGAAACCCTTCGGCGGCGGCGGCATCCCGCGATCTATTGTTCGACTCGTCTCTAACGATCTGGCATCCACTCTGCTGCTTCTTCCGGGACCTGAAGTCCTGAACTTAGAGCTTCGGACCTCCAATAAGATTCCGAGAACATTCCTGCCCCTCTCTCCGTAAGCCTGCCTCTGTTTTTTATATAACAATGTTTCTCTTCTATTATTTCAATGTTATTCTGAACTCTTGTTCCTACGGAGCTTTTTTTGTTATTCTTTTCTATTGCAACTGCTTACCATTTGTTCACATATATATTATTATTTTGGATGCTGATTCTATGATTCTATGTTGAGTAGGTTTAGTATTTTTTCGCACTGGCAGTTCTATAGCGAAATATTGGTACCTGTTACTTTTAAAACCTCTAATATCTAGCTTCTATACTCACCTACCCTTTTATTGAAACATGGCAACTGAGTTGTCTTATTATTTACGGAGTAGTTCTCTAAGATTTCCATTTAAAAAACTTTGAATTTGGGTGGCTTGCCAGTTTTGTGCTACGATTCTATGTTTCTAATTGTTTTAGTGTCTGTAGAACCTATTTACGTAGTACTTTACTACTTACATTTAGTATGATATTAACTTTAACGATATATATAAGTTATTTAACCTAATCAGCCATGCTTCCTCTATTTACCGAAACACTATCACTATATTTATATAGCGGGTTTAAACTTTTCTCCGTAAGCTATTGGCTATTGATTACACTGGTATGTGTAGAGAATTGCTCCAAGTAGTAGAACTCACAAAAACAAAAAACTAAATTTCTTGTGGGTAAAGTTTGGCACACCCAAGCACTATATATATATATATATATATATATATATATATATATATATATATATATATATATATGTATATATAGATGTATGTATGTATATTTTTTCAGGACTGAAATGAAAAGATTTGAATGCAATAATTCTAGATTCTGATGAGCGCAGGAAACTAAGATCTAGGGGGATGTATTCCCCCCTAGCTTATAAAGAAAAACCAAGAAACCTAAGAACTGGTGGTCTGTCCTTTAAATTGTATCTGTAGATGTATCTAAATTGAAACAGTGACACCCAAACAAGAGGCAGTCATTTGGCCTATGGACTCCGGCAGCTTTTGTAGTACCTGAGAAGAGAAACTGTTCTTACTAGCAGTTGCTTTTTCTGTTTTTTATTACATTTGAATGTGATGTTTAAAATTTAATGATTAAATTTGAGAAGAAACCAAGACCGAGTTGTGTTACCATATAAATCTGACATCTGTCTCGTTACCCGATAAGCTACATGAAAAGGGGATGCACATTACCCAACAATACAGCATATGTACTTGTTGACAGCTATGTTACTAAACCCGATTGACCTGAATTTTCTCCTGCTTTTAGGGCATAGGAAAATGGGTCAAATTTCTTCTTGTATATAGTAAGATTACTGATTACTAGGACTGGAAGTTTCATTTTTGTTCATTCATGAATCGAGTAATCACCATTCTATTATTTTTTTACTCAATAAGTAGGTTTTGAAGATTTTCCCATTCTATTTAACTTTAGTGTTTCAGTGTTATTTTTGAGTTGATTAACTTTTGCGATGTTCTGATACAACAACATCCAAGCCTGAGTCCCAAAAGATATTGGGGTCGGCTAATGGATGATTAACTTTTTGCGATGTTCTGATGCAGGGGATAAAAGATGGTGCAGTATAATTTCAAAAAGATTACCATTGTTCCCAATGGGAAGGATTTTGTTGACATCATGCTCTCTCGTACACAGAGGCAGACACCAACTGTTGTGCACAAGGGCTATGCAATATCTCGTATCCGTCAGTTTTACATGCGCAAAGTGAAATATACACAATCAAACTTCCATGACAAACTTTCCACCATTATTGAGGAGTTTCCCAGGCTTGATGATATCCATCCTTTCTACGGTGACCTTCTCCATGTCCTCTATAACAAAGATCATTACAAGCTTGCACTTGGACAAATAAACACAGCAAGGAACCTGATTTCCAAGATAGCCAAGGATTATGTGAAAATGTTGAAGTATGGTGATTCACTATATCGTTGCAAGTCTTTGAAAGTTGCTGCTCTGGGACGAATGTGTACTGTGATAAAGCGAATCACACCCAGTCTGGCTTATCTTGAGCAAATCAGACAGCACATGGCCAGGTTACCTTCAATCGATCCGAACACTAGGACACTCTTGATTTGTGGGTACCCTAATGTCGGTAAGAGCTCTTTCATAAACAAAATTACAAGAGCAGATGTTGATGTGCAACCCTATGCTTTCACCACAAAGTCCTTGTTTGTTGGTCACACTGACTACAAATACCTTAGGTATCAAGTCATTGACACTCCAGGAATATTGGACAGACCGTTTGAGGACCGTAATATCATTGAGATGTGCAGTATTACAGCTTTAGCCCATCTCAGAGCCGCCGTTTTATTTTTCCTAGACATATCCGGATCTTGTGGTTACAGTATTGCACAGCAAGCTGCTTTGTTCCACAGTATAAAGTCTCTCTTTATGAACAAACCCTTGGTCATAGTTTGCAACAAAACTGATTTGCAGCCTCTGGAAGGGATATCAGAGGAAGACAGGAAGTTGGTCATGGAAATGAAAGAAGAAGCTATGCAGACTGTGATTGGACAAGGCGGTGAAGCCATGGATGATCAAGGTGTACTTCTGACTATGAGTGCTTTGACTGAGGAAGGTGTGATTTCTGTGAAGAATGCTGCTTGTGAGAGGCTGTTGAACCAAAGAGTTGAAGTCAAGATGAAATCAAAGAAACTAAATGACTGCTTGAATCGTTTTCACGTTGCCATGCCAAAACCACGTGACCAGAAAGAAAGGCCGTTGTGTATACCTCAGGCAGTGCTGGAAGCTAGAGCAAAGAAAGCAGAGGAAGCTGCAGAGAAAGAGAAGAAGAAGCTTGAGAGGGATCTTGAGAATGAGAATGGAGGTGCGGGTGTCTACTCTGCCAAATTGAGTAAGCACTATATCTTGGCTGACGATTCTTGGAAAGATGATGTCATGCCAGAGATTCTTGATGGGCACAATGTGTATGACTTCATCGATCCTGATATCTTGCAAAGGCTGGAGGAATTGGAGAAAGAAGAAGGGCTTCGGCAAGAACAAGGAGAAAATGGTGATATTGAGATGGAAGGTGGGGTCGAGCTGAGCCCTGAAGAAAAAGCCGCATTAGCCGAGATCAGGAAAAGGAAAAGCGTGCTGATCCAACAGCACCGGATTAAGAAGAGTACAGCGGAAAGCCGACCAACCGTACCAAGGAAGTTTGATAAGGACAAAAGGTACACATCAGAGAGGATGGGAAGACAGTTGTCTAATCTGGGGCTGGATCCAACCCTTGCAATCAACCGTGCACGCAGTAAATCAAGGGGACGTAAGAGAGAACGGTCGGTGTCTGGGATCAGTGACTCAATGGATGTTGATGGTGATGAGCAAACTCCAAACAAAAAAAAGTTAAGGTTGATGCTGTCTAGATCCAGGTCAAGGTCAAAGTCAAGGCTTCCAAATGAGTTGGTGCCTGGTGAAGGATTCAAAGATTCTGCACAAAAGTCTAAGGCTATTGAATTGGCTAAGAACTCTTCCAAGGTTAGGAACAAGGCAGCCTGCAAGGGTGAAGGTGATAGAACTATTCCAAATCTAAAACCAAAGCACTTGTTTTCTGGCAAGCGTTCTAATGGAAAAACACAAAGGCGTTAAGGTTAGCTACGGTCTTTCATTTTCCCTTATCAATTATCATATTCATCTAATATGTAATCTCAATCATTTAATGCTTTTAACAATTGGATAATGTTATGATGAATCAGTTTTCTTCCCTGTCAAGTGTCAAGCATAGAGCTGATACTACGAACTTATATAATTGACAAAATCCAGCATCACATAAAATATAAAGAATGTTACAAGTATGAACTCTAGAGTTTGTGATTCACAAAAGTATGACTTGTTATTTTTCTTTAAAAAAAGTGACTAAGTAACTTCAAAACTCTAAGTTTATTCTCCCTCCAACACCACTCTACTCCCCCTCAGCCAATACCGCCGACAACAGATGGGAAGCATTTTCAAGATTTTCTTAATAAATGTTAGGAAAAGTTACTGGAATCATCTCTCAACCCTCCTAAGGATTTTTTTCAGAAAATTTCCAGAAAAAGTTGTTTGAATTATAGTTAGACAAGTTGTTCATAACAATTCACTGAATTGGCTATTGCAGTCTTAGTGACATGCAAGACAGTGTCAGCTTGTAACTTGTAGTGTCATGGATGGTGTTGTGGCGGTGGCATAAAAATTGCCAGAAAACGTATAGTTTTCCAACTTTATTATCTTGTGAGTCACTTTTGTCCAAATATAAATTTGATCACTTTTATAAAATTGAGCTTCAATATAGTAATTTTGCAGACTTTCCCTCTTTAATATTGTAATTTTTGTAGGTATACAAGGTTCTGACAAAATTTTGCAAATTTTGGAATGGTGTTCAGTATGTCAGCTTTTCTTGTTTCCGGGAGATTGATGGGATCAACTTAGGACATTTCAGTTTTTGGTTTTGCAATTTATTTAGTGTAGCTTCAATATGTTTCTGTTTTTGAGCTGCTCTGAAAATTTTCAGGTTCATGTGCTTTAAAGCCCACATGGGTAGCTCACCATGTTGTCAGGGAGGTTGTCGAGCAATGGTCTTAGGTTCGAATCTTGAAAATGGCAGTGATAGTTCACCAAATGTAATGGTTTCCTGTCAGTGCCAGTTACTAGGCTGCTTTCTCTCATTATATGCGTGGCATCGTACCGTAATTTAATTGTACACCACTCTGTCTGAACAAAGTGCAGGTATAGAGGGGTGGGCTTTTCCACCCTTTGTGAATGGAAGATACAATGAAGACACTCTTTAACAACCAATATAATTGAGTCATTGTTACCTGTTCATTGGTAATGTCCGCTTTCTTTTGTTGCATTGGTCATCTAACATTTCTCACGAGTTATCTTCAGAGTTATTAAAGGACTTGTATAGTTGTATGAAAAGTAACTCTGTAAGAAGGCTTACTAGAAAAAGTAGTTGGGCACTACTTATGTCAGATACTCAGATGCAGATTATTTATAATTAGAGGAAGCTCTTCCACCGCACCCCTAATCTATGCAGGAGAAACTGTATGCGAATCGGGTCAAAGAAAGAAATTTAATGAACATGAATTTGTAGTAGAAATAGCTGCAAATTATACGGAGTAATACTTTAGGAACACAAAGAAGAAAGAAATCAGTATTTGTAACTTTTTTCTTGATAGAGTACTACTGTACTAGTCAATCTTGATATGCTTGCTTCAAGTTAATATATGAGTGGTTGCTAGTTCATCTGTATGATTTTGAATGTGTTCAGGCAACCCCAAAGTAACAGGTCTGCGGTCTGCCTGCACATTTTTTCTCGTAGGATGCCAAATAACTCTACCTTTTTGAACAGTTTTATCAACTCATGAGCCGCTCCTCGATTTTGAGCAATGTGTTCCTCCTTGACGCTGATTTGGTATCATACTTTTTAGCCACCATTATGGTGATAGTGTTTTTTTTTTTGAAAGGAAACTAGCAATTGTATTAATTTAAATTATCGTTTTCCAAGTGATTGACAATACAAATAGGAGGAGAATGCAAATCAATATAATCAAATGTGAATGACTTCTATCTCTGCTTCATCATGAAGAGAAGAGTAAGTCTAACATCTTTAATGATTAGGGATGGATTCGGTTCGGGCCACCCGGCCCGTGACCTGGCCCGGTACTGTGCGGGCCCGGGACCGGCCCGGTCGGGCGGTCCGGGACCGGGTCTGGGCCCGAACCGGGGGGAAGGGGCGGGGCGGGCTCGGTTCAGCAATTTTGTGACCCGGCCGGGTCGGGCCCGGGTCCGGGTCCGGTTCGATCAATTTTAAAAAAAAAAAGTTTTTTTGGGTTGGGCTCCTACTAGCCGTTGGGGGTGGGGCTGGGGACAACCCAAACGGCTATATAGCCGTTGGGTGGGTTATAGGGGGCGTCCGGAGGGGTTGGGTGGTGGGGGGGGGGGTGGTGGGGGGGGTAAAAAAATCTATAAATACTCCTAATCTTAAACATTTTTTCATATCTCTTTTCCAATTCTTCCTAAATCCTAATCTTAACTCTCTACTCTCTAATTATTATTTATAAATAGTATAAATAACTCTCTAATTCTCCATTCTCCAATATATTATATTTATTATTTATAGTTTATATTAATTATCTACTTATATAAACTATAAATAGATATAAATAGTATTATATTACTTATATTTGTTATCTAATTATATATTACTTATATATTTATTATATCTATTAATATAGTTGGAATTATATCTAATTAATTTAAAGTCATTCTATTACTCCCATCCGAAAGACTGAAAGTCCGAAAGAAGTACGAAATTATTCTATTATTTACACTTGTTTAATTACTAGTTAATTAGTATAGTTGGAATTACGATTTTTTATTAATATAGTTGGAATTACAATTTTTTATTAACTACTTAATTCACTACTTAATTCACTACTTAATTTGCTACTAATTAGTATAGTAGCAATTTTTTAATATAGTTAATTCACTACTTAATTTGCTATAACTCGAATTAATAGTTACATAAATAGTTAATTAGTTTTTTACAATTTTTTATTAATTGCTACATTTGACTCTAGTTTATAAAATATGTTGTACACAAAACTAGTAAATTCACTACTAAATTTGCTATAACTCGAATTAATAGTTAGATAAATAGTTAATTAGTTTTTTACAATTTTTTATTAATTGCTACATTTGACTCTAGTTTAAAAATAATGTTGTACACAAAACTAGTTAATTCACTACTTAATTTGCTATAACTCGAATTAATAGTTAGATAAATACTTAATTAGTTTTTTACAATTTTTTATTAATTGCTACATTTTTTAGATGGATCGTCCTAGATATTCGGTTGATATAGGTAACCTCGAGCGCAACCGAACGAACGAGATTGCGAAGAAGAGATCCCGCAAAGGTAAATCACATCTCGGCTCTTCATCTCAAAGTCAAGATGATTTTGATACGGGTTACGTAAGGAGGGATGGGGATGCGATGACCGATGAACAACTAGAACAAGAATTGCACCGACATAATTCCCGCTTTTTTCAAGACCAACCGAGGACCATTGACGAAGAAGAGCTCGAGGACGAGGACGACGATGTGGAGGAAGCAATTCCGGAGAGCCACGACGACGAGGAGGAGGAGGGTGGCGGCAGCCATGATGCCGACCAAGCAGCCTCATCCCAAACAGGTACAAAAAAAAGTAAATCTGAATTAATGGCTTATAATTTTTCTAAGTGGAAGGACCCGAACACCGGGAATTGGACCGCAACTTGCAATTGGTGCAAGAAAAACTATAGCTTGGGGATTTCCGGCGGATACGGATCCGCCACAAGACACTTTAAATCCAAACACCCGGTGGAGTATGCAAAATTAGGCGGCGGAACGGGGAAACAAACGCAAATATCGAGGTTTGCAAATAACCAACAAGCTTTTGGTAATTTCTCATACAATGATGCACAAAATTTGACAGGTATGGCTAACTTACTTGTTGAAGAAAATTTGCCTTATTTGTTTTCTGAAAGTCTTGCTTTTCGTGATTATGCACAAACTTGTTTAAATCCGCAATATAGAGGTTATAGTCGCAAAACGGTTAAGAAAGAAATTTCAAGGCTTTATGGTGCGGAAAAGGTAAGGTTACAAAATTATTTTGCAAACTTTGATGGACGTGTTACTGTATGTTCTGACATATGGGAGGATACTTATCATAATTTACATTATTTGGGTCTGACTGTACATTATATTGATAATGATTGGCATATGCATAAACGTGTTCTTGCTTTCCGTGAATTTAATGATCGTCACACCGCTGAACATATTTATATTTTGATTGAACATATTTTAATTGAGTATAATTTAATTGATAAGGTGTTTGCTATTGGTTTTGATAATGCTACTAATAATACTGCTGCTATTCCTAGATTGCGTGAATTGTGTGGTTCTACTTCTTTGATGGGTAGATTTTTTCATCAACGATGTGCATGTCATGTTCTAAATTTATGTGTGCAAGATGGTCTAAAAGCGTTGGGAGCATCGTTGGAGGTAGTCAAGGGGGGGATTAGACGTATTTGGGGTAATGGACACCTTAGGAAAAAATGACATGATTATTTGATAGAAAGAGGTGAGAGATATGTGGCTTTTCCAAAAGATTTGTCTATTCGTTGGAATAGTACCTATAAGTTAATTGGAGTTCTTCTTAGATATAAACAACATTTTCCTGCTTTTATGAAACAATATGATAACTATATTATAAACTCGGCTGAGATCGACACCTGTGAAAAAATTTGTAATGCTTTGATATATTTTAATAATGCAACTGAAACTTTTAGTCATGTTTATAAACCTACCTCAAACCAATTTATTCGTGAAGCTGTTAATCTCGCCGGTGCTTTTTCAAATTTTGAGAATGCTGATTATGTGAATTATTTTGCTGGTTTTATGAAGGAAAAGTATTTAAAATATTATTCACATATTCCGCATATTTATGGTATTGCATTTGTTCTCGATCCTCGTTTTAGACTTGGTTCTTTAGAAGAATGTTTGAATTATTATTATGCTGCTTTTTTTGGTCCATTGCCAATGTATGAGGACAACCCAATTGATCCGAAAAAAGAATACAACGAGGTTAGTGATATATTTTATGCATTATTCAATGAGTTTCATGCACAATATGACAATGCGCCCCCTCCCCCGACACAAACATCATCTAAAGAAAAATCAATTTTCAAATCTACGTTTGCCAATCTTATTAAAAAAACAAAATCAACTCCCGCTACACAACAAAGCACAATTAATGAGATTTCTTTGTATTTAACTTATGATGTTGATTTTGAAGAAGATGATGATTTTGACGTACTAAACTGGTGGAAGGGAAAAGAAAGAATGTTCCCGGTTTTAGCAAAGATGGCTAAGCAAGTGCTATCAATGCCGGTTTCAACGGTTGCCGTGGAACAAGAATTTAGTTCGGCCGGCAATGTTCTAACACAAACCAGAATGAGGTTGAGCGCTGAATCTCTTGAGATGCTTATATGCTACCACGATTGGTTGAAAGCAGCACGTAGAGCTCAAGAAATTGACATCACTCCATCACAACACTTTATGGATGAATCTACAGAGGGTGGCTCTACTTATGCCGGAGATTCCGATTAAAAACAATTATAGTTCCTATTTAATTTTCAAATGTAGTTCCTATTTCATTTCAAATAAATGCACTTGAAGTTTGTTTTTTAATACTTGTATAAAACTATAAAGTATAAAATATAAATTTAAAAAAAAAAAATTACCCGGCCCGACCCGTGACCCGGGCGGGTGGCCCGGCCCGAACCGGACCCGTCCAACCCTCGGGCCGGTCCCGGGCCCACTATTCTAGAACCGGCGGCCCGACCGGGCCTAGGCCCGGCCCGGGCCCGACCCGGCCCGAATCCACCCCTATTAATGATACTATCAAAGTATGAATTGCCCTCCCGGTCCACAATACCAACAGCAACCATAAGTGAATCTATATCCACCTTGAGTCTTCCCAAGCCTAGTGAAACCACTTTTGATAGTGTGTCCCTTACTGCTATCGCTTTCGTTATTCTGGCTGATCAATCTGTTGTCACTGTTTGACAATCACCTTAGAGAAAATTTCCGTCTGCATCCCTTGCTAGTCAGGTCTATGCTCTTTTGCCCAGTCCTGATGTAGTGTTGCGTCGATATTTATTTTTATCCCACCTGGATCCGGTCTTTTTCAGTTAGGCTTGTCCTCCCATGAACGAGTGCTAGCAGCTTCCCCTCCTTGTGCTGCCTTCCATCCTTGTATCACCGAAGAGCCTATCTCCAGAATCTGCCTCCAGTCGCTTGTCACACTCTTGCAGACTTTGTCATTGCGTACTTTCCATATACTCCAGTGTTGCCACAAAGCTGCACAACGAGTCTACCTGCAAGTTAGTAAAGAAATCTTTAGCCCAATCCATCGGGTTATTCCGTTGTCTCACAAATTGTGTTCCTAGCTTGCTTCGGCAGCTAGGAAGAACCTGACACTGCTTGAATATATGTAGCTCAGTTTGATCCTCCTTACAGAAGGCACACTTGTTGTCCACATCTACTCTTCTTTTCCGAAGGTTAACTGCCGTTGATAGTACTCCAGACATTAGTTTCCAAATAAAACATTTCATTTTGGGCGGTATTCTAAAATTCCACACCTTCACCCATCTCATCCAGCCTTGACCAGTTATCTATCCCCGCAACATTCTATACCCACTATGAATCGTGTAGACCCCCTTAGAATCCCCACTCCATCAAACTCCATCTTGCGGGCATCTTTTACTAATGTAAATTGATAAGAGAGCCCTTCTCTTCTCTACAAAACAAATATTTTCCACCCTGTGGACATTCCAATCATCCCCTCCTCGTTCAATAAGGCCGTCACATTCATGTCTACAACACCCTCTTGGGAGCCACCGCTCCCTCCAAACATATACTACCTCCGTCCCAAATTGATTTGCAAATTTGACTTTTCTTGGTCAAACAGTTTCATTTTATTTGCTTAATTAGGATGTCAATTTTTATTTATATTCGAATTTGGAGTTTACAACTTTGAAGAGCTTTTAATGCAGTTTCTGAATATATAAATTTTAATTATTAAAAATTGAATTAATTATCGATAACGAGCATTGACTTTTTTTATTGGTTGACCAAAAAATGTTGACTTTGCAAAACAATTTGGGACGGAGGGA